ATTTGATTGAGGGAAGTGAGGACTAGACGTGTCGTGTTGGAAGTCCCACTCTCGTGAAAATAGTTTAAAGGATGCGGCAGTGTACTGTGGGCCATTGTCACTGAACACTGTTTGTGGGATACCATGACGACTAAATATTTTCTTCATTTCACGAACTACGGCAGGTGCCTCGACGGGTTTTGCAATGTGGGCTACTTCAAAGAATTTGGAGTGATAATCAACGACTATTAGGTAGTCTCGACCATGGAGCGAGAAGAGATCTGTACCAACTTTGACCCACGGTTGGTCAGGCACGTCGTGTGGTATCAGTGTTTCCTTTTGCTGTCGGTTGCGATGATTTGTGCACGTTGCACACTGAGAGACAAGAACAGTTAGCTCATGGTTGATTCCAGGCCAATAAACTGCTTGCCGGGCTCGACTCTTGCACTTTTGAATGCCTTGGTGTCCTTGGTGAAGAAGGGTTCGGATTTCAGGACGCATGGATTTCGGCACAATGATTTGTTGCCCTTTGAGAAGAAGGTCATGATTGTACACAATTTCGTGACGCTGGCTGTAGAAAGGTTTCATGGAACTATCAATGTTATCATCGGATGGCCAACCATTGACGGTGTATTGTTTGAGCTTTTGTAGAACTAGGTCGTTTGCTGTTTCGCGCTGAAGCTGAGAGAGTTTTGACTGGCTGATTGGTAGCTGGTTGATGATTGAGTGAACATGATGAGCAATATCTTCAGGGGTAATTTCCGGTTGACCAGGTAATGAGGCTCTGCTGAGGGCATCTGCCACCTTCATAGTCTTTCCGGGTGCATATTCGAATGAAAAGTCATACTTTTGTAGGCGCAGAAAGAACCGTTGGATGCGAGGAGGACACTGAACAATGCTTTTGGAGAAAATGGTTTTTAGGGGCTGGTGATCATTGTGTACGTTAAATTCTCGACCATAGAGGTATTCGTGGAACCGTTCACATCCGAATACGACTGAAAGAGTTTCACGTTCTATCTGAGCATAATTTTGTTCTGATTTTTCGAGTGTTCTGGAGGCAAATGCAATGGGATGCCAGGAGTCATCTATGCGTTGCTCAAGCATTGCACCTAACCCAATAGAGCTAGAGTCTGTCCGAATACGAGTTGGGAGATTTGGGTCATAGAACTGTAGGACAGGAACAGATTAAATCCGACGCTTGAGCTTTTCAAAGGCATCAATTTGGGGTTTCTGCATTAAGAACTCGGTTCCTTTCTTCAAGAGGGCTCGTAATGGTGCAGTTTCGTCTGATAGGTTTGGGATGAATTTACCAAGATAGTTCACCATCCCAAGAAAACGCTGAAGTTCGGCAGGGCTTGTTGGAACGGGCATTTTGGTAATTGCTTCAATCTTTCTTGGGTCTGGCTTCACTCCATCTGCGGACATGATGTGACCCAGAAAGGTGAGCTCCGTTGCACCAAAAATACACTTTGCATGGTTTAGCTTCAATCCGCTATCTCGAATTTTGTCTAGGATTTTCTTCAGCCGTTGATCATGAATTTCTTTTGTTTCACCCCACACGATTATATCGTCTTGCGAGTTGGCAGCACCATCGCAGCCAGCGATAATCTTGGATATTTCGAGTTGGAATATCTCACTAGCCGAGTGAATTCCATAGGGCATACGCTTAAATTTGTATCGGCCAAACGCTGTGCCAAACGTGAGAAGATCTGATGTGAAGTCGTCGACTGCAATCTGCCAGTACCCGTTGCTTGCGTCGAGTTTGCTAAAGAATCGAGCACCACTCATTTGAGAGATTATCTCTTCTGTAGTAGGCAGACGGTAGTGTTGGCGTTTGATTGCTTGGTTTAATGGACGCGGGTCTAGGCAAACGCGAAGCTTTCCGTTGGGTTTTTCGACAAGAACTAAGGCGTTGACCCAGTCTGTGGATTTTTCGACTTTTTCAATTATACCCATGCTCTCCATGCGGTCTAATTCCTTCTTCAGTCGATCTTTAAGAGCAAACGGTACTTTTCGAGGAGGTACCACTACTGGACGGACATCATCTTTCAAGGTCATGTGATAGGTGGACTTGAGTGTGCCAATCTCTCCAAAACAGTCAGCGTACTCTTCAGATATATTGGAGCTATAAGCTTCCTCAATGTTAGTATCAGTTATTTTGTAGACCCGCTTGATTAAATTGAGTCGCTCTGAAGTGGCCAAACCTAGGATGGGTGTGGTCTGTGAAGCTACGACGATAAAGAGAAGGTGGTGTTTTTGTCCTTTATACTGAATAGGGACAATACATTTTCCATGTACAGGGATGGAGGACCCATTGTAGGCGGACAACTTGGTTGATGTTTGTTTGATTCGTGGGCGAGGGTTTAACTTGTTGTAGAGTTTCTTGGGTAACACGTTTACTTGGGCCCCTGTGTCGATTTTGAAGGGAATGTCTTGGCTGCCTGCATTAAGAGTGACAGACCAGTGTCCCGCAGAGGTGTCGCTATTGAGAGGATCAATTTTAAGTGCTTGTTGAACCTCAGAGGCTGCTTCAGATTCAGTTGCAACGAGGCTTTCGATAACAAAATCACTTTCTGAAGAGGATTCAAAGGAGGCACGATCTTGAGAGTCATCGACTTGATGCACTGTTTGTTTACAGCACCTGGCAAAGTGATTTCTACGTTGGCACTTGTTGCACTTTTGACCATACGCCGGGCATTTTCCACGTTGGTGTCGACCTGCACAAAATTTGCAGTTCTTTATTAAATTATCTCTTTCTGGAGAATGAGATTTAAACCTATCTCGGTTTTTGTCTCGCCTTTCCTTCTCTCGCTTTTGCCTGTGTACTTTGTGGATTTTCTTTTCCATGTCTTCAGTAAGTTGCTGAGCATGTAGTTTGGTTTGCTCGGAGGCTTGACCAAGCTCGACTGCTTTTTGTAGATTGATGTTAGGCTCACGAAGCATTCTCTCACGAAGGGCATTGTCAGAGATACCACAAATGATCATGTCTTTAATAAGCGAGTCTTTCAAAGTATCGAATTCACACGCTGCACTGCGTTTCTTCAGTTCTGTCACAAAGCTAGTAAAAGTTTGTCCTTTTTCCTGGCGGTATGTAAAAAACTTGTGTCTCTCAAAGGTAGTGTTGCTACGAGGATTGCAATACTCTTCAAATTTCTTGAGAACAGGTTTTAGTTTCAATTTGTCGCCAGCATTTTCAAACTCAAAAGTGTCATAAATTTCGCGCCCTTTTTCGCCTATACACGTCAAGAGAATTGAAGTTTTTACCTTGTCAGATTTTGAATCCGATTCCGTAGCTGTTAGGTAAAAGTCCAAGGCCTTTTGCCATTGCTTCCACGATTCAGCAAGATTTCCTTCGAACGCGAACGGAGACGGAGGCGATAGCCCAATTATTCGTTCAGCCATCGCCACTGGTTATTGCTCGTTTGAGTAAAATTACTTTTTAAAACTTCTCAAATGTACTAACTAAATATCCAGAGTCAAGGATCCCACTTCTGTCACCATGTAAAGTTCTTATTTATGTTATATTAGTCCATTTCTTTGTGTATATCACTATATCTATACATCTATATGTTCGTGTCCCATTACACGTAAACAACAACGTTTCCCCTAATTTCCATCTCCCGTAAGGAGGTCCCGTGGTAGGAGATCAACATGCAACAGAGTCTCTCTCGCTTCTCCGTGCCGTGCCGAGAAGAAATACGAGAGGACTTTGCTCACATGGTATAACAGGCTCTATTTCAAGCATCGAGCCTGACATGCAAGCTACCTTCAAAAGGCCTCTTTGGCAACTTTTGTTGTGGTTACCCAGCCTGAGGCAAAAGTAATAAATTATGAATTGTTATAAATGTTCTGTGAAGTGCACATATATTTCCTGCAGTTAGGGACCAGTCCTTATTTATGGAAGAGGGAGGGGAGGGGGCAAAAGGTGGGGCCATGACCCCACGAGTATAAATAATTTACTAGAAGGGGGGGGGGCATTAAATTTTTTGAGAAAATCAGTTGAAGGGTCAAAATGTGCAGTTGCAATAAATTTGTTTAAGCCTGGTTTCCAGTGTCCTCGAAGTTGGGCTAAGCCAGATAAATCCAATAAATGATATCAACCTCGTTCCCAGGGCTTCTGCGCTTATACACTGCTCTCAGAAAAGAGAGTAATAAGCGCAGAAGCCCTGCACAGAAGCCCTGCGCAGAAGACCTTATTTTAATAGCCCCAGCGACTAAACGCTCAACAGAGCGTCTTGTTAACAAGGTGTAGCGAAAGCACAAAATGAGTCAAAATATATACCAAAAGAAGAATCTTTCATGAAATTTTGTCTTATACACAACTATACATTAATATATATTTTCTCAATTTTGGCAAGAAGCAGTCTTGTGTTTGTAAAATATACAAACACATATACAATTAGTAATGTTTACAACATGAGCGGCCGTGTTGTATCAGATATACAAAGTCGAGCCGAAGGCGAGAGTATATCTGATACAACACGGACGCGAATGTTGTAAACTACTCATCTTATGAGTTCATTGGCGATGTAATTTTAGAAATAAACGTTGTCTAAGCCGAGAAAATCAAAGTTAAAGTTTATGTAAATCAACATGAATCTGTATCACATATACAGATACGACACGCTTACGATTTTTCTTTGTGTTTTCTTCATGAATTATTAATGAGTTTTTTAATAATTTTTAAATAAAACGGATACATATATTATTGGCCCGTACAGTACTGTATATAAAAACGTACATTGTTTACAAATGGTATATCCGTAATATTTGAACAATAATTTCAAAATCCTCATTCCCAATTCGCAAATATAGTTATTCAAAGCAAAACAGTAGATTGTCTTGCGAATAAAAGAATTATTAGTTTGTGCTTTCGCTTCACCTTGTCAACATAATAGTGTTGCTTCAAACTTTATGATAAAAAACCCGATTTTCTAGACGTGTATACAAATAAAAATAGTAAGTTTATACTATAAATGAGTTTATTTTACCTGTATCGGTTTAAATTCGCTGTTAAGTTGCAAATAATTCTGTTTGAGAACGCAATAATTGGGCATTTCGCAACCAGGACAGTTTCAGGGCAGTTTTGGCCTTGTTGTTGGGAAATCCACTAGGCTTTCTATTTTTTCGCTTGCGTCAGGCTTGTGTCCTTCCTCCGCCACGCCCCCAAATCACCTAGTCCCAGTCTTTTCATGTGAAAAAGCGCTGAATGTTTGTGTGATGTTACTCTGAGTGTATATCCACACCGGGCAGGCTTGAAAAATATGCCTGGCCACGGCGGGATTCGAACCTACGACCTGCCCGGTGTGGATATACATTCAAGCCTGCCCGGTGTGGATATACACTCAGAGTAACATCACACAAACATCTTATTCACCTGAGTACATTACACCAACACAGAACAGGCGGGAAATTTGTCGTCGCTGACCAAAAAATCGCGGGCAGAAACAAAGCTCATTGCATTTACATTCAAAACAAAGCAGAAAGTTAACAAGAAGCTGTTTTAGCTGGCGATTTTTTGCTTTCCTTTCAACGATTTACAAATTAACGGTGATTCTTTTAAAAGTCGACTATGAGTTCTTTGGTTTGGGATGATTTGTTTTGTAATCGAGTGATTTGAAGAAGTTAATATGGCGGCGTGAACATGGGAGTAAATACCGTATACGTCGAGCTGTGGCTTGTTTAAAACCGTAATAAACGAAGAAAGACGTGATATGAGAATGAAATGTAAGTTGAAATTAACTTTATATGCCTCAAATATTCCATCCTATGTTTCTTAATGTAACTCCAGCTGTCTAGGTATTGTAATTCTGTTCGTAGCCTCACAGCGTCATTTTTGTGCTGTATGTAGGAACTGTTAGTACTGTTCTTTGTTGTTTAATATATGTATTGTTGTAATTTATTTATTCGGGCCCGCAGTAATTGGCAAACGCTGTTGTGGATTCCCTGCTACTGTAATATGTACAAGGCGAATTAAATAAATAAATAAATAAATAAATAAATAAAATACAAGCTCGCGAAATTTGACAAATTCTGAAAATATGTAAAAATAGCTTGACTTTGAACTGTATTTTCTCAAAAGTAGCCCGTGGCCTCAATTTCAAATATAAGTAAATGAAAAGGAAAAACTTTTAGTTGTTTGTAGGTATCAAACATATCGTCAGGAAAATAGGGGCTCACAATGTTTTAGCTGAGTCTTTGAGAGCCATGCCAGTTGCTTCGCACGTGTTGTTGTCAAATTTTTGCCAGGAATCAAAGGCCGAAATTTGAACTTCCTTCATGAAAACCGCTTCGAGAAGGGTCTAGTTTGAAAATTTAGCTATTAATTTCGATTTCGTGAGCATATTTTGGTTATACGTTAAATATTTTTGTACTTGATGAGATTCAAAATCTGTTGTATATTCAAGCCCGGCTTTAGTGTAATTTTGGTGATGACCGGAACAGAAATAAAGATATTTTAAAAACTGGCCGTGGCCTCACGATAAAACTTTCTACAAATGTTCTCTGTTTCATGTACTTTTATTTGATATCTTAGGTATAAGCGTACAAATAGGGGCTCATACAGTTTACGAGGTTGTAAAATGCATGACTTGCCTCTATTTTCATGCAAACATTCGAAATTTTTCGACAATATAGTAGCGACTATTTCAGATAGGACAGCCCACCAGAGACAATGGCAGGGTACTGAAATAGAACGTCACTAAAAAATTCTGCATGATTAATTTAGATCATGTCTATTTTCAAAATAAAACAGTCATTTATTTTGTACAAACATTTGGCAATATTTACACGATTGTGCCTTTTTGTAAACACGCGTTACGTGTATTCCACGCAATTGTGTTGCTCACTTTGCTCGCGCATGCTCAGACAAATTTCCTACCTGTTCCAACACAGCAGATTTCATAAAGCGCTGAATATTAAAAAAATATAAATAAAACTAGAAGGCCTAGGTCTAGGCTGCTTTTGAAGTCTGTCTTCGTCGCCTGTTTGTGTCATTCATAGTTTAACCACCGCTCACTCTCCATACATGCCGCTCATTCTCCATGCATGGATACATGCATATCTGAAGAAAATGGTCCATTTACATGTCTTGCTAAATTTCTATATGAATTTACAGTATGTTGTGCGAACAATCATTTGGAATATTAATTCATTTTCCTAGTTAATTAACAAAATATGACTGCAATAAGTGTTTACGAAGTAGAATGCTTTTAACGTACACCGACAAAAGAAAATTTACGAAGCGTGACTTTCCTTAATTTTCTTTTGTTCTATACGTTAGCCTATTCGTAGAGTCTTGTGCATGCACTTGATCATTCACTATATTTCCTTGTTCTGCCTTGTAAGTAATTTAGCTTATGCTTATACTGTACAAGCATGTACCTTTGAATTCCTTAATGAGTAGTGGGCGTAAGTATGATCACATTTTTTTTAAATCCTTACAAATTTGATATAAATTAGTTAATTACCTCAAACATCGGTTTCTTAGCGAGAAACATCCCTCGGGAGCATAGACCTCAGAAAGCATCCCTCGGGCTTCGGCCCTCGGGATGCTTTCTTCGCGTTACACCCCTCGGGTTGTTTCTCGCTAAGAAACCTAAGGCGCTTTCCATAACCACAGCCAGACCGGTCAGAACGATAAAATTGTTGAATGAAACAGAAAACATTTGGGCTTTGGAACTATCTGACCAGAAATTTTAGATAAGATTAGAATGAGGTCCATTCTCGCTAGATATTTCAGCAACATACACCAGATCTTTCTATTGACACAGAGAAAAGAACTATGGTCTGACGGGTCAGGCCATTAAATGGAAAGCGCCGCTAGTTCTCGGTAATTAACTATTACAAAAAACATTAATTAAAACTCGATAGGACTGAAAAAGCATTAATTAATACTCATTAATTACACCGTTAAAAACGTATTTTTAAATGTTTGTGAAATGGTTAATTTTTACAACTGAAACGCAAAATTAAATGGCTGGTCTTCTTCACCAGAAACGTGATAACAACCCACCCACACACCATTTACCACCCTCTGTAAATAATATAAATTCTACAAGAAAAACTAATTACTGGCTAAAAGCATATTAGCTAACGCAGAAATGTTTAAATTGTGCTTAGAAAAGAAACGATATACCCACAGGAAACAAAATTGTTTAAGCCGAGCTTATACCTTCTACAGTTGGCCGGATTACATCGAGCGCTCATTCGGAAATTAATATATTAATACAGAACAGGGGCATTAATGTCAGCCATGAGATATTTTACTATAGATACATATATGCAGACATTAGTAAATAATTATTATACCTCAACTTCAAATTCTTCAATCATGCAGAAAGCTCACTTTGGGGCACGTGAGCATGAAACTAGTCGCGATGTCACGCCTTAATTACGTCATCAGTTAGCGAGAGTGCGTTACTTTTGACGATGTTCCACCCCATGTTCCAAGGGGAACATGGGGTTGAACATTATTCGCGTAGACCACGCGATACAACACGCATGACAACAAGATTTCCGACATAATAGTAATGAATAATTAAATTTTAAACGTAAAAACCTGATTTTGTTTTAAAACGATATGCATGTGATTCGAAAGAAAAGCGATGATCCTTGCGGCGTTAGTGCAAAAACAAAACATCGTATTCACGGAGGTATGTGTCAAGTTTTACATTCTGAACTTGGAGGAATTTATTTTATTATTGGCGTTAATTCAGGCACGTTTGATCGTTTGTTCTTTTATTTGCTTATATTGGTCTTTAACAAACAGCAATTGTGGCTGGACCAATATCTGTACACCAAAGAGGAACTAAGGCTAACTCGGTCCCATGGATTACACCTGCTATTAAACAACTAATGAGGAATAGAGATTACCCTAAAAAGAAAGCCATTGATTTAAATCATCAATTCACTGGGATAGATACAAATCTTTACGGAACAGGGTAAATAAGTAAATGCGTAAAAGCAAAATTGACTTTTATCCCAAAAAGATAGGGGACTGTACAGTACATATTCAAATGATTTCAAAAACATTTGGTCCCTTAGAAATTCCCTTACTGGAAGGAATAACAAATCTTTCAGTATTACAGAAATATGTGTGAATGACAACAGCATTACCGATTCTGTATTAATTGCTGAAACGTTTGATGAATATTTTGTTAACATTGGCCCTAGCCTAGCTTCTGAAACTAGCGAAGAGCCTGAAGCTGGTGAAGAGCCTCTTACTCAACGCACTACGAATAGCTACAATAATACCAATCCCACAACAGATACGATATTCCATTTCTATCGTATTAATGTAGAAAACGTTTTTCTGGCATTAATAAAATTCCAGCTAATAAAATTCTAATTCCTTGATAAAATTCCAGCTAATGTTCTCAGACTCTCTGCAGATATTATTGCCCCGTCATTAACATATATATTTAATTTATCACTTGACACTGGTATTTATGTTGATGACTGGAAACGCGCGCGAGTAATTCCAATTTACAAATCTGAAGATCGACGGACATGTGAAAATTATAGGCCAATTTCCATACTCCCCATTGTAAGTAAAGTTTTTGAGAGATGCACCTATCAGGCATATTCTAAATTGTTCATTTACAACATCAACGTTTCCGGATCAATGGAAAATTGCTAAATTACGTCCGATTCCTAAAGATAGAAAAAAACCTTTTGATGATGAGAACTCTCGTCCTATTAGTCTGTTAAATATTCTAAGTAAACTGCATGAGAAAGCAGCGTTTCAGCAAATCAATCAGTATCTCTCGGTGAACAAAATAATGGTGATGAATCAACATGCCTACAGAGAAAACCATAGTACAGAGACAGCACTAATTCAGTTAACAGACGACTGTCTAAGAAACATGGAAAACGGACTGCTCACCGGTGTAGCATTGTTAGACTTTAGTGCTGCTTTTGATCTAGTTGATCATGATTTACTATTGTTGAAACTGAAAGACTATAATTTTTCTGAAGGGGCCATCGACTGGATTAAGTCATATCTCACAGGCAGAATTTCGATGGTTAACATAAACGGTGAATTTTCTAGTCCAACGAAAATTGTCTGTGGAGTACCCCAAGGAAGTTGTCTTGGACCTATGCTGTTTAGTCTATTCATCAACGATTTACCATCTGTACTGGATACAGCTAGTATTACCTTGTATGCTGATGACAGCACTCCATACCATGTGGCAGAAAATGTCAATTTAATATCAGAAAATCTTCATAATGATCTACTTAACGTCGAGGAATGGATCCGGAAAAATCGTCTGGTGCTAAATGTGGAGAAAACTAAAAGTATCCTAATTGGAGGTCGCCAAAGGATTAAAGTAGCACATCCACTGAACCTAAGTATGAAGAACAAAAGCATTACTCAGTATTCATGTGTCAAACTTCTGGGAGTGCAGATGGATGAGGCATTAAGTTGGAAACCCCATTGCGATGGTCTTTTGAAGGATTGTTCAAAAGCGCTCGGTCTGTTGTATAGATTTAGTAAATACATACCAAAAACTGCTTTAAGATCTATTGCGGATGCACTTATACTATCGAAACTCAACTACTGCTGTACGGTTTGGGGTTCAGCTCTGAATCGGAATTCTTTAGACTTTCTCCAAATACTTCAAAACAAAGTCGCTAGATTGATCGTAGGTTGTAAAATTCATGAAAAATCCAGAAAAGAACTACACAACGAACTTAACTGGCTAACGGTCAGACAAAGAGTACACATGAGAACAGCTATGATTATACATAGAACACTCTACTGGAAGGAACCATTTACTATATTTATGCAACTTCATTCTCTCATCATTACCCATGAACATGAGACAAGATTCGCATCGAAGTGTAAAGGTGATAAGTTACTACTTGCGAAACCTGTTTATAAGAAGAAAACATTCCTTGCTAGAGCGTTTACAACAAGAGGAATAGAAATTTGGAACAATTTAAGTGCAGAGACAAAACACATAGTAATGAAAGGAGCTTTTAAATCTGCTCTTCGTAAACAGTTGGCTTGGTTTATTTTATATATATACCGAATAAGCACTGCTATTACTATTGTTATGACTAAATTTTATATTGTAATTTTGTATAGCATCGTAGTTTTTAGTAAACTGTATATATATATATATATATATATATATATATATATATATATATATATATATATATATATATATATATATATATATATATATATATATATATGTAGAACTTAATATACCATAGCGTAGACCTCGTGTAAACTAGCATTATAGCTAACTGGGGATCTATTTTAAATACAAATACAAATACAAATACAAACTCATTACTTTCTAAATTCCAATCAGGGTTTAGACCTAAACACTCAACCCTGTTTGTGTTGATACAAATGTGTGATAATTTACCTAAAAACATGGATAGTGGTCAAATAAATTGTGTAGTCTTTCCTGATGTTAGAAAAGCCTTCGACTCCATAAATCATGAAATTCTGATTGATAAAATGCGTAATTTTTTTGGAATATCAGGAAACCAACTAAGATGGTTCGAATCATACCTGAATAACAGAGTTCAACAATGTTTTATAAACGGACAACTATCGAGCCCAAAAAAGATAATATGCGGAGTTCCACAGGAGTCCATCATTGGTCCTCTATTATTTTTATTATACATAAATAATATGCTTGACTCGTTAAGTCACTCAACTCCTTCACTCTATGCTGATGACACGGAAATTTATGCATCTTCTAATGACTATGCCGACTTTGTCGACAGTAGCATAGCCAGCCCGACTATTTGGTCCCGCTATGCAAATATTTTCATGTTCATTGACTGTGAAAACAATCAATTTCTAAAGAAATGAATAATGATAATATAATAATTTTGAATTTGCATAGCGGGACTAAATTTCGAGCTGGCTACGCCACTGCTTGTCGACAAGGTAAATATTGATCTCGAAAACATACGCAGTAAATCGAAACATATGTTCATTGGATCTCCCTATAACCTTAAGAATAAAGTATCTGGTAATCCTATTTTAATTAATAATAAGCTAGTACCCAGGATTAATAAATATTCATGCCTCAGCGGGACTATGGACGAAAGGTTGTCTTGGGATAAACATATTGATTCAATCTGTTCTAAAGTTGGTTCCGGTATTGGTGCAATGAGACGTGTTAAACCTTTCGTACCACTGTCGACGACCAAAATGCTATATAATGCTATTATACAGCCTTATTTCGATTATTGCAGCCCGTTGCGGGATAATTGTGGCATTGGGCTCAAAGATAAGTTGCAAAAATACCTAAATCGTGCTGCAAGATTTACTGGGGCAACTTACGATATTCGGTCATTTGAGTTACTCAATAATCTAAATTGGAAACCTCTAGAAGAAAGACGAAATTATCTTAAACCTATTTTCATCTATAAAATTCTGAATGGCCACACCGCACCCACTCTTAAAGAAGCATTTCAATTTAATAATGAAAGACATAATACTTACAATCTTAGAAATAGGGATACTGATTTAGCACCACCTATGCCGAAAAAAGAATTCGGCAAGGGGTCCTTCAGTTATAATGGTGCCTTGCATTGGAATAATCTTCCCCATAAGGCAACAGTTGCTGAATCCCTAAGCTCTTTCAAGTCGATATTGAAACAAAGAATGAGTTGAAACTTGCTTGTGTGTAATCGTGCAGCTAAAATCACTTGTATTTTTTTTATTTTCGGTTATATTTTGTATTTCCTGTACATAGTTAACTTCTTGTAAATAGGTAATTTCACGCCCCTGATGGAAACCTGCCTTCCAACGGCTGTTAAGGCTAGCGTGGTGCAAATAAAGTTTTGTATGTATGTATGTATGTATGTATGTATGTATGTGTGTATGTATGTATGTATGTGTGTATGTGTGTGTGTATGTATGTGTGTATGTATGTATCTAATTTGGATAAAAGCTTTTGCCTAAAGCAAAAATATTTTAACCGTATTTTTGAGCAAACTGTTTGTCGGCAACATTGTTTTGGGGCTTGTTAGGCCGACTACACGTTTATCCAAGTTTGGAAACGTTGCACCTGACATAAGGTGAAGTTAAATAAAATGAATTAATTTTACATAAAAAAAGAATCCTATTGAACGTCAAATAAAGGCATAACAGCACATTTAAGAATTTCAAAGTCAATGTAGTTCACAAAATTAAAAATATGATTTTCATGTTACCAAAACAACTATTGTAATTGTTCCCAATCAAGAAATATTAAGAAAGGGCGAGGGGTTGATGCGAGCATGTATTTCTAGTATAATGCTTAAAATGGGTCCAAAGACGCTAGATTATAAAATCTTGATGTGACTTGATACTACAAATAGAATATGTCTTATGATTTAATACTACAAATAGAATGACTTTTATGTACAAACTTCAATGAATTGATAAAGTGTAAGGATGGTGTTTAAAGTCGCTTCTTGTGTAGAAGCTGAATTACTTTAGTTTATACACTGTATTGTCGAGATCACATGTTGATATGACTTACTAGCAACTTGCAATAAGTGGTCTGTTCTGCGTGCTTAATACTTTAGAGTTTGGACATTCGAACATTGTAATTGCCTGACTGAGACTGTTAGGGCCTGTTTGTATGGAAGCCGGGCTGGCCCGCTTAGCAAGACAGCCCGGTAAGGTAGGTAAGCAGGATGATTTCTCTGTGTTTATTTGAGAAAATTTTATCCCGCTTACTGGGACAATTTTGTTGTTTTGACATTATTTTGACAGTTGTTAAAAATAGCTTGCGGCAGTATCTGTGAACTTTCATCCCGGCAACCGGGCTAGCCTGCTTGTGATTGTTTATGTGGAGAAATTTCCATCAGTGGTCTTGGCAACCGGGCCTGCCCGCTTGTCCATAGAAATGATAATTTTTACTATAAAAATAACTAGACAGCGAGATCTCACTTACCGAGCTGTCTCACTGCACTTAGCGGGCCAGCCAGTTTCGATATAAACAGGCCCTTAGACGGCAACTGCTAAAAGCTGCAAGTTTCTTTAAAGCAATATCATCTATATCACAGAATACAGTTTCTGTAGTGACATACTTCATGTTTTTTCTGTCTTTAAAGTGTCTTATGTTTGTAATATTTTTGTACAATACCTTTTTGAAATTGTTGATACTGGTCTCATTGTAACTAGCTGTGTGGGTGTGTTTTTGCTCTAGTTTTTACATTTACATGGTTCATGTACAATTAATGTACATTTAAATTAGCTTTGTTCAATGAATACAGGTGTGATTCAAATATCATTCCTGTCAGGTACTTGGGTCAAATAGACATAAGCATACCAAATCATGCTGTGAATTGAAATACAAGTTTATGGTATTGACGTATTGTTTAATAAATATATTTTCCAGTTAACCCAGTAAGCTGCATTGTGCCCCAATGCACCCTACTTTACTAGTTTATTTCACTTCATCTAATGCCAGATTATTTCACTTATCGAGGGAGAGTGCTGCTGCTCATTGAGCTCTGATTGAGTTCACTGAGTGGCAGCAATTTCCCCTTGACGAGTGAAATTGTCTGGCGTTAGACACAGTAAAATAATCTTGCGTTCAATCAAGCAGCTACTTTTTCAAAAGCTCAACCAGGCTAAAGATTCTTTGATTTGAAAACCAAAGTGATAGTGAATAGTTAGTTGAAACAAACAGAATTGTTTGATTTATTTACTTTCCACAACATTGACAATTAAAATTTAATTTGATACTTTTCCAGTATATTGACATTATATAAGTTCAGATTTGACTACCATTACCCATAAGGGACCATCAACCAATCAAATGCATTTGATATATTCGATCAACCATTGTAATGAAAGTGTGAGTTTATTCATAAACTAATTATAAATCAACTTCCATGCAATGCTTCATGCAATCATCTAGTTATGCACCAGTCAATGTAAATCCCTGCCTCCAACCGGGGAGGGGCGGAGGTTTAGCGGGGAAAGTGGTCAGTTTTGATTATAGATTTGTCCCCGATGATGGGAGACTTGGACGGTGGTTAACATATATATCCTCTGTTGCTGTTTTAGTTTTCTTGACAACATATGTGAATTTGATTTTCTATTGCTGATCTATGATTATACAAAACTATTTTCCTGAGATTGAGAGACATGCAGGGGACATTGATGTTCCTGGGGGCGGGGACAATTTTGCTCTTTTACTATCCCTCCAAGTCAATATCCCTGCCCCTCCCCGGTTGGGGGGTTTACATTGACTGGAGCATTAATTAAAGAAGTGTCAGTGCCACATATGTAGTAAAAGCAACTTGTCAGTAAAGGCCACAGAGCAAGATTGTATTTCAAAGACTGCCAGTGACAAAAACAATTGATAGTCCTGAAATAGAGTATGCCAACAGTTAGTATACTGCAAATAACTATTCTTTCAACAAGATAATGTGTGTGTTTTACAAGTGTTTTTCATATATCAATCCAATGGCATGTAACCTAAAATTCAGCAGTGTCTGTGTAATGAAATACACCCTTACTTCTCAATGGTCAAATTAACTATACTACATTGTGTATAATAATATATGGACTGGTTCAAAAATATATTGAATTTATATTAGTGAACTGGTGAACTATTGATGTAGAGATTATGCCAAGTATAGAATGGCACAAGGATTTTCATGTTATCAGCATGATTAAATCGTGAGATTGTGCAAATAATCTGTGTAAATCTCTTAGGAATATCCTCAGTAGCTACATTTTAAGGTAAAATGACTATGGTAAAGCTATTCAAGGCAAAAAAGCAATGGATCTGTCAACCTCGTTGTCAACATTAAATTTAGCTAAGTTTATGATCCATTTATTGCCGTATTTTAGCTGAGAATTTATTTAAGACAATGCAATACGATAGACTTACCTTTGAATTTATCATATATTCTTTTAAAATGGTCACCAAAGCTCTAAAACTCGATTGGTATCGTTTTAACTTTCTCACTCCTTAATGTTTACATGTAAATTTGTAAAATTACACTTGTTTAGGGCACTGGAAACGAGACACGGCCAAGATGCGCGGAGGTGACATGCGCGGGGACAATCTCGTTCCCCGAGCCTGCGATCCTCGGGAAGGCTCTGGGATAATCCGTTGCCGGAAGCCAGGAATTCTGGCTAAGATTGAACTACGCATCCATTTCAACGGCCAATCAGATTCCTCCCTGAAACGGATTATCCCAGAGCCTCGCGTTCCTTCCTGAGGATCGCAGGCTCGGGGAACGAGATTGGCGCGGGGACATCAACATCAAAGATTCCGACATCGAGTGAGACTTCTGGTCTTATTACTTATGTTGTGGCTCTGCCATATAATATTTCAAAAATGGCGTCCAATTACAGACATAAGAATATTGAATTACTCATGAATTATTCATGTACAAATAAGCCGTTTCAGGATGCAAACCTAAAGTTTGCGGTGAATTGGTTTGTTCAAAGTGCATTGAGAACAACGAGGAAGTTTTTTGACGATGTTGGACCGAAGAAACGTTTCAAAGTTTATATAAATAAACATCGCTCCTTGAAATTCAATGACAGTATATGCACTCTGGGTGAAACGCTGCACGTAGTGAGACTAGTGAAACAATTGTCGAATCTGCGATTAGAGACGGTATGTAAATATTAAATATATTATTTTTGATTGAATAAAAATACGAAGTATATGTACTATAAAGTATGTATTCATTGCTGTGTCCCCAGTGTATATGTATTTGATTTGGAACAGTGTGTACTTTTTATAATTTGCAACTCTTGGATGAACCTAGTTGTTGCAAGGTTGTTGCCTTCTTGGTAGCATAATAAATGACCATTTATACCACCCAAGGTTTGTAATGTTTGTGTGAATATGTCTACATGCACTGAACTCTGGTAGCTTATATTATCAAAGGTGGCCCGCAGTTATTGGGAGTATAATTTTTGTTGCGGTAACCCTGTCACTTGTACTTTATATGTCTGTTTATTTGATGTACTTTATACTGTATGATGGCAAAGCTAATGGGTCGCTCCAGAAAACATCCATACCACCCCCAGAGAGGAAATTGGAAGTTAACTCCCCCCCCCTATTATCAGAAACAATTTTGTCTCCACTGCAAAAATTTCCTCTGCGAGGGGAGTGTGGATCTTTTCTGGAACGACCCAATTAATGAGTTCAAAACTTTCACTTTGGAAATTTTAAAACAACAAATAACAATAATTAATTAGATTTATCATTATAATTGCCAGGTGAACCTATAGTATGGTTCCTATGGTAACATACATATATCTTAATTATTCTACAGAATAATTCCATGGATGATGTGTCAATCTAGTATGAACTAATGTACACAGAATACAAAGTGTCATTTGGCAATGATATAAATTGTTCCAATGATGCCATTACTATTGCTACCAAAAGTTGATGAGAAACTGTTGAAAGTGGAACATTGCCTCCAAAAAGAATTTCAACTCCAGAAAGAATTTCAATAGACGGTGCTGTAAACTAGAACTTGGACATTGAAAGTTTAGACCAGGACAATAGCAAATTCCAGCTTTTAGTTTATGCGTGCAAGGGACGATGGGAAGTAAGGTATCACATTGCTGATTATGCTGAAAAAATAAAAATGGTGGCTGTGTAAACACGGAGTGATAGCTTATACTTGTAAATATTGAAATATTTTGGTTGCTTCGGTGGTTTTTATTGAAAATTTTCATCATAATCAGCACTATGATACCTTACTTCCCATCATCCCCTGCAGGCATAAACTAAAAGCTGGAATTGCCTATTTGACGCTATTGAAGCTCTTGTATCCAGAAAAAGATATCATTGTTCATTGTTGTGGTCCCAACTGGCTTCCAAAATAAAGGCATATATCTATTTGAGTTGATTAATTAGGTATATCTACAGAAATTTAAAAAAAAACAGGAGTTATCCAAACTGACATATTATATAGGTGCAAAATATTAATGTAGCTCTGACTTATGGCTATTTCTAGCACAAGTATATCTGACCATATTTAATGTATCTTTGTGATTGGTTAATCCTAGTTATATAATACTATGATAATATTGGTTAATCCTAATTATATGATACTAATATTATATATTTAGCAAGTTGTAACTTTAATTAGATTGTTGTTTTTATATGAAATTCACATTTCTCCCTGGACATTTTGATTTGATACTTTATACAAAAATATACTTGAGTGGATAGCAAGGTTTGTGTCAGGCTCTATTTGTAAAATAGAGAGAGCAAGATGCAGAAACAAAAATGGGATACAATTGTAAAAACATTCAACAA